TTCCTACTCTTTCAGCAGAATATCTCAGAGAAATTTAAACTTTTCTGATCAACTTAACTAATCATATATTAATATAGAATCATATTTAATGAGAAAAGATAAAGAGTAGAGAAAGTTCAGTAGTAATTGAATTATATAACTGTTATAAAGAATCAATCATCTTTAAATACTTCTATAATTTATTTACTGCTGAAAAGTTCTTTCTGATTTTTTACTAAGTGTAGAGAGTTATCAACTTTGATCAATTCTCTGAGTAAGAATAATAACATATGAAACATAAGTTGAATATTCATTAGTTAAAGACATTGAATTAAAAACTTTGAATTGAAAAACTAGAAACTGATTCTGAAAAATAGAGATATATATAAATCTTATAATTCAGATTAAAATATTTGATGATACTGATATAAATGAAAATTCTATCACAGCTATATTATAATGATAAAATATTCTAATATTCTGAGATCTCATGAGTAATATTTCTGAATATCAGTAAATTGTCAGAGATAACTTTGCTCAGATAATTCAGAATACTTTAACAGTAAAAAAGAGATATCTGATGAAAGATATGTAGAAGAAGATATGAAAAAAGATTAAATTTTCAAAGATATTTTCAATGAAAGATAGATTAATATAGAGATTTTTAATATAATCTATTTCTATTCAATATATTTAATTTTTCATGAGTTTTATATATAAATTAATTAATATATACTTTAATATATATAATTAGAATATACTTGTCTTTATATTCACTGAAGAAAGTTGCTATATTCTCTATCTTTCAATTTATATAGTCATAACTGCAGAGAATTCATTGATTTCACTGTACTGAGAAATCTTTTCATAAATCTTGAATTCTGTAGATATATTTCTGACAGCATATTAAATACATGTTTCTAGTTAATAGAAATAATTTTATATTTAAAATAGCTGTAATTCATTCAGTAATAGTCTGCATAGAGAGTATTTATTCTGAAAATAAAATATAGATGAAATCTGTCAGATGTACTGATTATATAAAAATGAAATATAAAAGTATTCATATTCATTACATAATAATTTACAAAGATGAATTAATAATATATATAGAGAGAATAACTTATTATCTTCTATTTCTTTCTTTCTTTCTTTCTTCTTCTCACAATTATATTATACTATGAAGATTATTCTTAGTTTATCTTACTCTCTCTTATCTTCAGTAAGATTAGTATTCTATCAGTTATAATAGAAAGCTTTTAATAAGAAAAGTTCTAATTTCAAAGATATCTTATTCACAGTATATCAAGAATATCAGTGATTTATTTATTATATTAATATCAGTAATATCAGTAATAACAGCAGCAGTAACAGTAAAAATAACTAATAACATCTCTAAGTGTACTCATATTATCACTGTAAAAGCTCAGAAGAAAGAGATAAATAGCTGTCTGAATATTCTGATAAAGCAGTTCAGTAAATAAATAATATATAAGTACTGTTATAAGTATATTTTTTCTCATCATTTGAATGTTACTTACAATAAGATGAAGAGAAGCTTAAAGTCTTATATAAATTATAATTATAAGAAAAAGAGATGCATAATTATCTCTGAAGAATTAAAAGAATAAGTTAATAATCTAATCTGATTTTATAACTTTTATCTTTCTATATTAGATGATTTTAAGAAAATAATAAAAAGAGCTATATTGAAATTAATGAAGAATCTTTTAAAATAGATTAAGAAAGTTAAAACTTATTAACAGAAAGTGAAAGCTTAATATATAAAGAGTATTACTATTGTTTTAAAAGTTCTAAATATTATTATCAGTACTACTAAAAAAGCTAAAATTAAGATTAAGAAAATTAAGTTGAATATTAAAATAATAAAATTAGAAATTAAAAAGAAAAAAGTTACTGCAGAAAAGAAGAAAATCACAATTAAAAAGATAAAACTTGATATTAAAACTATCAAGCTTGAAGTGTATTATAAGCTTTTGAGAATAATAGTAAGTTATATTAAAGAATAAAAATCAGTAATAAAGAATTTTATAAATTTGATAAATAATATCAATATCAAAACTAACTGTATTATTATTAAGATGTATAAAATAATGAAATATATTCAGAGATTTGTAAATTATCTTAATAAGAATTTAGTTATAGTTAGTGATAGTAGTAGCAGTAATAAGAAATTTAATATTAATAATAATTCTCTTTCTACTTTTCTTACTAATATCTCTACTACTGTTATTAATTCTCTCTTCTCTTTCTTCTCTAATCTTCTAACTTCAGTTAATTCTTTGATTATAAGCAGTATCAGAACTCTTAATATTCTCAGTGAAAAAATAAGTTAGAATTAGTGAAATAATTCTCAGATTTATACAGAAGTTAATAATAATATAGATGAATAAATATATAGTTTTTAATTCTCTTAAAATTTTTTCTCTTAAACAATGAATAGTTATTAATACTAATTCTTTATAAACTTTAATATCAATTCACAAGTTCTCTGAAATAAATATTAATATAAATATGACAGAAAATAATAATAATAATATAGAGATAATTTAAAGAATCTGAGAGAAATTATAGAGAGATATGACAGATTTTCAATAGAGAATGATTTCAGTAAATAAGATGTTTTTTAGAATTAGTAATTATATAGATAGAAATCAGTGATATTATTAATATAATAATGATTTTATTCTGTTCATAACTCATTTACAGTGATTTCATGACTAATTCACTCTTATATTAAGTTTTACAGTTCAGTGACAGTGTCGCTGACTGGCACAGTGGAACAACCATAACCCAGTCGTATAATAAGCCTACGTTTTTCCGGTATGGATACCGCTGTAAATCACGTGAGTACCGCTAAGGTTGCCTGTCTTGGCGCTCAGCAGCCTTCCCAATCGGGCAAAGGAGACTTCTCCCTCTCCGCAGCCAAACCTCCGACTACCTATCCCTAGTCACTCTCCCTCCGGCCACAGCTCGGAATACCTCTCCTGCTATTATTCCTTTTTCTCTCTGTCGAATTGCATTGTATTTTGTATTCTTTGAAGCCTCCTCTCCGTTCATCCGGTTTTGTCAGAATATGTTTTTATAGATTGCATTTCGCGGGATTCGTCATCGGCTTAATACCGTGAATTCACCATGGAATTGTCGCGACAGGACTATCCGGCCATTGTGGTGAGTTAAAACGGCTCGGGAAAATGGAATTATGTCTCTTTCCCCCCCCCCCCCCTCTTTGTTTGTTGCCCTTGTCTGTTGGGCGTTGTTGCTAATGAACAATGGTTCCTTTGTTTAACAGGCCTCGTTAACCCCTACCCAAGCTTCAGCCGTCCTTACCGAACGCATACGATTAATTAGCAAGATAAACTCAGATATCGCGGACTGGCTTTCGGTACTTCTTTTTCCATTTTCTTTTCGCCTCTCAATCGGGGGTTTCCTGAGCGGAATTTCCACCGAGCGCAAACTTACAATCCAAACCTAGGAACGACGACGGGTGGAAGACGCATATGTTTTGGGCCTTCGTAGGCTCGCACGACGGCAATCGCAGGATGCATCCGCAGCATTGGGGTAAGCAATTGGTGCGATGCGAAATCGATGTTGAATTGGTTATTGACAAATTATTTTTATATCTATCTATTAGGGTCTTTCAAACACCATGGCAACGCATCCTCACTGCCACGGAATCATTAGCGGAATCCCATGAAACCCTTTCGCACGGGATCGAGGCGGACGTTGAACGGCCTTTAAAGGAATATGCTACTAGGAATAACGATATGCAATCCATCTCAACGATGCAACAGGATTTGGCGAATCTGGCAAAGGAGCTTGAGTCTGCGAAGAAGAAGGCCGACAAATTAAAAGATAAAGGCCCAAAGGCTGCGGCGAAAACATCCAGTGCCGTTTTAGCTGCGCAGGAGGTGGCGCAACAATGGGAATCGAGGGCACCTTTCGTTTTTGAACAGCTTCAGGCTGTCGATGAGCACCGCCTGAACCACCTCAGAGATGTTCTCACCCAGTTCCAGACTCACGAGGCAGATCACATCGAAAGAACTAGACGATATACTGAAAGTTGCCTTAATGCGCTATTAAGCGTTCAGACCGACGAAGAGATTACAGCGTTTACTACGAAGGTAACAGGCGGCAGGGCTCCTGTCTCGAGAACAACAACGACGGATGCTGCAGCGACAACCTTACCCCCTTCGTCAGGCCAAATTCCAGCTGCCACTGGAGAACCTTTACGTCCCCCACCTAGAATCCATGACGATGCGGCTAGCCAGCGTTCCGGTCGATCGAACAAGGGCAGACTTGGTGCTGGTGAGTCATCGCTACTGAAAACTGACATAATTGGAAAAGGACTAACAAAATAATAGCACCCGAGCCCGTCGGGCACATGAGGCTTGGTGGCCTGAAACGGTTGGGTACTGTCATGGGCCGAAGAAAGAGTATTGTACATCATTCAACTGGGAACTCAGGTTCTCCGGAGAGGAAATTCCGGTCCCCATTCACCGCGTTCCGAAAGTCGGAGTCAACTCGAAAACTTCCAGCAAGTTGAAATGCAACATAACCCCAGCGATTATCTGGCGCCAATTACCTCCAGGGATGATCTGTCGCTTCGCCGCCCTGCTTCCTCGCCTAGAGAGACAGCCCGCAGCGACTCGATTTCAGCATCGCATCAACGACCAACGACTCCCAACGGTGCTGGTGTTCCTGAAGAGAGTTCTATCCCAGAGAGTACTGGGAAACATGGCAACTCCATGGAGCAAGCTCCGGCTACAGCCCAAGTATGATTACCAGCTCCGCAAATTTTCACGCACTGTTTTGCTGACTTTCCACTTTTCCACAGTCACCTAGAATAGATGCTGAGGGATATTCCGAGCGGCCGGCTAATCTTGACGAAATAACGCGACTTCAAAAAGAAGCTGCTGCTGCGTACGTTTTCTCTCTTCTTTGCTAGGAAATTAAGTGACTTACAGATGATTAGTGCCGAAGAGCCCGGTCTAAACCTCACTATTCGTGACCAACCTATCGAGGAGGACGAGGGTGAAGCGAAAATGGCTTTGAACGAGGTGGCGAACACCTTGCGATTGGTGAGCCGTGCCAGTTCTCCCTGTTTAGGTACTATGAAGCTAACCCCATTATTATAGAAAGCACAACAATCCGGCCTATCTCGTGGGGTTGGAACGTTGCGTGGACGCCGAGAGGTTAGGAACACCATTTTCGTCCCGAATCCACCCAGCGAAGATTCAAGCTTGAGCCCACTTCCCGGTCTAGTTGCGGGACCACCACCCGTTTCCCCATCGCACGTTCCCAAGATGGTCGCATCTCCTCCTAGTAGTCACGATGACCACGCTTTGTCGGATACAACGTCCATCCATTCGTCACAAACCCTTCATAGTCTGTCAGGACCTGTTTCACACCCTGATATGCCCGAGCCTGGCCTTAATGCATCCATTGTGGAAACGGTCAATGCCTGGTTCTCTGATGGCGCTGTTACCCGCTCCTTCGTTGTTGGAGAACTGGCTCTGGCGTATAACTCGACCACGAGCCCCCCTTCGGATCCTGAGCTTGTCCGCCTAAATAATTTCGACTTATTAGAAAAAGTCGCGGCAAATCCTATCCTCGCCACAGAAGCCGGACACTCCTTGAAAGGCAAGGAGAAGGAAAATGGCTCCGGTAACGAGGAAAGGAAGGGGGAATATCTAATCTCGCTTCCCAGTATCGCACGATCGACTCCCACGGTTGCTTTCAAATATCAAATACATCTCAATCCTTCTAACTTCTCGGCCTATTGCCCTATTATATTTAACCCTGTTTGGAATTTGGAAGAATTCCAAGCCAGCGTTATCATTACTTATTCAATAAACCCCAACTTCATTTCTGCAGAGTCATCCACACCTATCACACTTAAGAATCTCGTGCTCACCGTCAACCTGGACCTATCCCCACAAGAAGACGAAACCACCAAGCAGCCTCGCGAAGTTGCTCGCGCCACGGGAGCAGTCATGTATCCCAACACTGGCGCTACGTTCCGCCGCAAAACATCAGCCGTCACATGGAGAATGTCAGAGTTGGAAGTAACCACGGCAGGCGACCAACGGTTCCTCGCTCGATTTTCAACAACGGTGAGCGGACCCCGCAAGGGGAGAGTCGATGCCAAGTTCGACGTCCTGAATGCCAACAGCGGAGACAGGCTGGGTATCAGCGTTCAGACTTCTGGCCATAAGCAGGACAAGAAGGCCGATGACCCGTTTGCTGATGAGTCTCTGGCGACGGGTAATGGGACGACGGAATCACCAGAACCCAGCCCCGCATCGAAGACATGGGAAGAAGTCTCTACACGACGAATACTAACGGTGGGGCGATATATCTCTTTCGGATGAATTTCCTTATTTCTCCCTTCCTTTCTCTATTTTCCCCTTCTTCAAGTATGATATGTTCCTTTACCACCGAATAATGTGGAAATTTTTGTATTCTTATTCTGGCAGGCGGGGAGAAGATTGCGGTAACGGATGGATATATTGAGGCGGAAACAAAATGAATATTTCCCCTCATAGCCTCTTCTTTTGTTTGCTATTAACACTGCTCTTTCTTTTTCTTTTCCTTCCTTGCTTCTACTTTCCAGCTTAGAACAAGACACCACTTTCACTTTTCTGGGTTTTCTTTTTGTTTTCTTTTCTTTTTTTTGTCTCTGCTTTTCACTCTCTTACTTCTTGAACAATAAAGATTCCCCACTCATAACTAAATTTGGGTAACTTAATTCAATTGCGAAGACTGCCCTGCTTCTCCCTGAATACCTTCTCCTTTTTCAGTGCTGTCCCTAACACCTTTTTTTAATAATGCAGTTCCTGTGGTTTTCCCTCATCCATTTTATCATTCTCGTCGACATTCGTTAAACTCATTATCATTCTTATTCATCTAAGCACCCTTTATTTTCTTTATTATTCTGCACTGATTTCAGGTATTGTAGTTAGAATAATGAAATTTTCAAAGAAAGAAGACTCAATTGAAGCTATAACTGATTTTTAAACTTCAATCTCACTCATTAACTGAGTGAAGAACTGCTGATTAATTTCATTTCTGATGTTGAAAATGAGATTTGAGTACAGCTTGTTTTTCTGAAAAATCTCTCTGTTTAAGACTTTGAGAATGAGTTTTCTATTTCTTGAGATTTGAAAGTTTTTCTTTTTTGCATTTTTTTCACTTCTTTTTTATGAAGAGATATATAAGAATTATTCTTCTGAGTTTTTTCAGAATTTCAAGAGGATTTTGAGATAACAGGTTTTGAAACAGTAGATTCTACTGCTTATGCATATATTTTCTTCTGATTTGAAGAAGAAGAAGAGTCAGTGATTATACTAGAAATTTTCAAAAATTTCTGAACTGCATTTAAAATTTAAAATTTAAACTGAATCATCTTCTGTAGTTGTCTAGTCTAAGTATGAAGAATTAATAGAACTTCTTCATTCATCTCAATCAAACACTGTTTTTCAAGATTTTTATCAGCTTTTTCAAGTTCTTGTATTTTAAGAACTTACTATTTCTCTATTTCTTCTTTCTTTCTTCTCTTCAGAATTTCAATCTCAGAAATAGTAACTGAGAAAACATCTTTTTTCACATTAACTGAGGGTATTTTTGAACTCATTTTACTTTCTCAATGAAAAGTTAGTCAGACTGTTTCAATGAAAAGATTTATCAGTCTATTTTAAATTGAACAGTTAATCAGACTGTTTTTTAGTTAAAAGATTTATCTGTTTATTTTCAATTGAAAAGTTTATCAGACTATTTCAAAAGAATAAAAGACTTTTATATACAGAATATCTGATTTTTCTTTACACTAGTTCAGTAACTAGATTAGATTTTTAAAGAGAATCTAATAAATTAAAATTGATTTTTTAAGTAAATTAATGAAATCTTTACAATCTCTTTCTTGAGATATAGTAAGGAAAAGTATAATATCAACTGATAATCAGATAATATAACAGTTTTTAAGAGAAAAACTGATAAGAAATAAGTTAATTTTTTGCAGAGAAATTAATTAAAACTATTTAATTTTATTTGAAATTATTCAATTCTTCTCACACAACAAGTATGCAACTCAAATCAGTTAATAAAAAGTATAAAAAAGAATTAAGTATTAATAAAAGCTCTTCAGTCACTGAATAAGTAAATCTTACTTAAAAGAATGTGAAATTATAATAGAAAACAACTCTGTTTTTAATTCTTTATAAGAATATTATATAAAACTCAGAGAAAAACACTATATTTTTTCAAGAGAAGTAAAAAATCAATTCTAAGATCTTTTTTTACATTAACTACTGCAGAAGAATAAGATAAAAACTTCTAAGATATACACTACTGTATACTCTCTATTAAGACTTTTACTCTTCACAGTCTTAATATTATAAAGAATATAAGTCTGTTTCCATATAATAATATAAATATAATTAACAGAATGTAGAGGAACTGGTTATTCATATCTCAAAATAGAAGACTTTGTAAATAATTACATTAATATAGACTTAATTCTTAAATTCAATAGAAATCTAGCATTACTGTTCTCAATTCCTTGCAGAATCTATTGAATATTGAGATATTAAAACTAGATTTAATATATCTCACTATTTAGAGATCAAAGACTCAGTCAGATCTTAAGTTAAACTAATTTTATAAGTGTCTGCTGATTATGTGCTTAATACTGTCACTGAGGCATCTTTTTGTATTTTTCTGTCAGAGATGAGTCAGATTGAGAAGAGTAATACGTGAATAAGACTTAACATTGATATTTTAAACTATTAAAAACAGACAGAGTTTTCGCGGAGATTGCTCTTCAGATATCTCTACAATTACAGATTGAGAATCTTTTAAACTTATAATATATAATGTAATATCACTCATTTATTTATACTCTGTAAAGTATTTATAACACTTAAACTGACTGTGTAACTGTGTCTGAGATCAGAATCAAACTTTACAGTTATTATATTATCTAAAAGCATTACTTCTAAATTCTAATCATAATTTGTATTCATTATATTAATCTCAAATTACTTTATTTTAAATATTAAAGATCTCAGATTCATTTTTCAAATAAAAATTTAGTTTAAGATAAAGAATAAGTTTAAATTCTTAGTTACATTTTCATTCTGATTTCATTATTGAAAATAATATTAAATGAGATTATGAAATCATTTCTTACTGAGATAATATTATAATATAGTGCTTATTTGTTGAAAATTCAACAGAGAATGTTATCAAATATCATTACTTTTCTCAAAAATCACATCAATTCATACAACTGCTCCACCACGAACTCGCTCGATTTTTCGAATAAGAACCCGCCAATAGATCTATCGAAAAGCCCTCGATCATACAAGCATTTTGACCCCATCGCCGACCGCATACCCCGTGTGGTGATGGAGCTATCCAGCCAAATGTGAACCAGATGTTGTTTGAAACTCCTGTGTGAGATTATCCTCTGTTCACCCCTACCACACCACAACCCCGGGGCAAAGTGTCATACAACTTGTAAGGTGAAGAGACCTAGCCATATACACCAATCTTCTTGATTTTGGAAGATCCCGACCTAAAACCCTGTCTATCATTGATGTTCCAAAACATCAACGCCAAGTCCCACCCACGTACCGCCCTTCCCAATCTGGCCCACCTCCGGCAGAAAGATACAAAAAGATACCTTGGCAATACTATCAAGCACATCACCAATGGACACATCTAAAGTGCAACCTTCACGTCTGTTGTTGGTGTATCAAGTAGACTAACCACCGGGACCATGAATTTCACATTTGATCCCATTTGATCTGGTCTCATACATTTCTTAATGTGAATCCCACTGAGACAAGTCATTAAAAAAACATGCAAAGTGACTATATATCAGATGTTAAAATGAAATCATGACTTGAAAAAAATAAGAAAGTGATCTTATTTGATTTCATTTAATTTCATTCTTAGTATAAAATTACTATTTTTAGACATTTTAAGGTTTTTTTTAGACTATTTTTAATTTTTTAAAAAGTAACACTTTTTAATAACACTTAAATAAGATTTAAAGTTATTTAAAGTAATAAAAATAATTTAAATTGAAAAGTAAAAATCATGATTCTATTTGAAAAATGTGATAAGAGTAGATAGTAAGTCTCACTGAGACAGTATAAGACTACTATCTAATGTTAAAACTGTGTAATGAGATCAGTTGAATTGATAATAAGACTATCAAAAAATCTGGTCCTGATCAGTCTCAGACACGGTCACATGATCAGTCTAGTATCAAGACATCAACGCCAAGTCTCACTTGTGTATTATCTCATTCAACCTAGTCTATCTCCGGCAGAAAGACACAAAAAGATACCTTGTTAACAGTATTCAATATACTCAAGCACCTCAGGTTTCTAATAAATACAGAGGTGTACAAATCACTTCAATGAATCACTCTATGTTCCTGAGCTGAGAAGTTATTATCACATGTATTTAATTGTCACTTCTTTGTATTGTTCTATGTTCTTGTTATCTTGACACGGTCTTAACACCTGTATTTTCTCCTGTATAACCAACACTTGATCTGTATTTAACATCACGCAAGGACTCATTATCAGCTCCGCTTGTATATGAGTATAATGAAAGAATAATAATAATAATAATAATAACAGTATTCAATATATAATCAGCAGATATGATAACTATAAAATCAGTATACTTTAAGATCTGACTAAGTCTTTAATCTCTGTTAGACTGACTGCGGAGACTATGAATTTCATGTTTAATCTCATTTAATCTGATCTTATACATTTCTTAGTGTGAATTTCACTGAGACTAATTATTAAAAAAATATGCAAAGTGACTATATATTAGATCTCAAAATGAGATCATGACTTAGAAAAAATAAGAAAGTAATCTTATTTAATCTCATTTAGTCTCATTCTTGATATAAAGTTACTATTTTTAGACATTTTAAGGTTTTTTTAGACTATTTTTAATTTTTTAAAAAGTAACACTTTTTGATAACACTTAAATGAGATTTAAAGTTATTTAAAGCAATAAAAATAATTTAAATTGAGAAGTGAAAATTATAATCTCATTTGAAAAATGTGATAAGAGTAGATAGTAAGTCTCACTGAAACAGTGCAAGACTACTATCTAATATTAAAACTATGTAATGAGATCAGTTGAATTGATAATAAGATCATTAAATATTCTGATTCTGATCTCAGACACGGTCACATGATCAGTCTAATTTCTACATAGTGAGATATATTAAATCTAGTTTTATTATCTCAATATTTAATATATTCTGTAAGAGATTGAAAACAGCAACACTAGGTTTCTATTAAATTAAAGAATTAACTCTATATTGATATAATCATTAATAAAGTCTTCTATTTTAAGATATAAATAATCACTTCCTCTACATTCTGCTGATAATATTTATATTATTATATAGAAACAGACTTATATTCTCTATAATATCAAGACTCTGAAGAGAGAAAGTCTTGATAGAGAGTATACAGTAGTATATATCTTAACAGTTTCTATCTTATTCTTCTGTAGCAGTTAATACAAAAAAAAAAAGATCTTAGAATTAGTTTTTTACTTCTATTGAAAAAGTAAGGTGTTTTTCTCTGAGTTTTATATAATATTCTTACAAAGAATTAAAAACAGAGCTGTTTTCTATCATAATTTCACATTCTTTTAAGTAAGAATTACTTTTTCAGTGACTGAAGAGCTTTGATTAATACTTAATTCTTTTTTATACTCTTTATTAACTGCTTTGAGTAGCACACTTATTATGTGAGAAGAATTGAATAATTTAGAATAAAATTGAATAGTTTTAATTAATTTCTCTACAAAAAATTGACTTATTTTTTGTCAGTTTTTCTCTCAAAAACTGTCATAGTATCTGATTTATTATTAATTGATATTATACTTTTTCTCACTGTATTTCAAGAAAGAGTTTATAAAGATTTTATTAATTTATTTTAAAAATCAATTTTAGTTTATTAGATTCTCTTCAAAAATCTAACCTAGTTACTGAACTAGTGTGAAAAAAATCAGGTGTTTTATACACAAAAGTCTTTCATTCTTCTTTTGAAGCAGTCTGACTAACTTTTCAATTCAAAATAGATTAATAAACCTCTCAATTGAAACAGTCTGACTAACTTTTCATTTAAAAATACACTGATAAACCTCTCTATTGAAACAGTCTGATCAACTTGTCATTTGAAAATAGACTGATAGATCTCTTAATTAAAACAGTCTGATCAACTTTTCATTCAGTGAGTAAAATGAGTTCAAAATTTCACTTAGTTAATGTGAAAAAAGATGTTTTCCCAGATACTATTTCTGAGATTGAAATTCTAAAGAGAAGAAAGAAGAAAGAAATATTGAAATAACAAGTTCTTGAAATACAGAAACTTCAAAAAGCAAGTAAAATTCTTGAAAAACAGTGTCTGAGTGAGAAGAATGAAGAAGTTCTGTTAATTCTTCATACTGAGACTAGACAACTGCAAGAGATAATCAAGTTCAAACTTGGAATTTCAAACACAGTTCAAAAAACATTGAAAACTTCTAGTATAATTACTGACTCTTCTTTATCTTCTACTTCTTCTTTCTCTTCTTTAAATCAGAAGAAAATATACACTCAAGTAGCAGAATCTGCTGTCTCTAAATCTACTATCTCAAAATCTGCTCAAAACTCTGAGAAAACTGAGAAGAATATTACTCAGATCTCTGTTCATAGAAAAGAAGAGAAAAAAATGTAAAAAGAGAAAAACTTTTAAATCTCTAGAAATAGAAGACTTATTCTCAAAGTCTCAAATCAGAAGATCTTGCAAAGAAATAAGCTAAACTCAAATCTTATTTTCAAAGTTAGAAATGAAATTAATCAGCAGTTCTTTTCTCAGTTAATAACTGATATTAAAGTCTAAAAATCAGTTATAGCTTTAATTAAGCTATCTGTGATGAGCTGCGCCCGATCAATTATATAGACTATTTCATTACACTTCACAGATTCCGCCGAAAACTCCGATTCTCAGTCACTGATTCTTAGCTGAAAAACTTATAAAATTCCTATTCTTCCGCTCTGAAGCTTCATTACATACATATATAAATATTCACTCTGATCACTGATTCTCACACTTTCTCTTTCTTTCCTTCTCTGATGTTTTTCACTTTGTATTATAAGACCTATATATGATACTAATGTATTCAGTGTAGATCTCTTACACTTGAAAAACATTTATTATCTTCTTATTAGAAATGATTATTCATTGAAAAGATATTTAAACACATAACAATGCATAAGAAATAGAAAAATGATGAAACAGTTAAGTGAACACTGAGTTCTCAGATAGAAGCTTGCTCATCAGTCACTCTGACCCTGTAATAAGATCTTACAAAGAGAATGTCAGTGAAAGACCTAAGAGTTCTGACATCTTAGATGTATGAGATATTCATACAATTACAATTCTTCTGATTCCGCAGATAACACACATTCAATAAACTATACAGCTATGTCTACTAATAATATGAGAGCACTCTTGAATGTGAGCATAAATGCAGTGTCACAGTGACTTCAAGTAATGTTGAAATTACAACAGTAACAGATAGTTAATATGCATGCAACTCAACAATGTCAATATAAGAAAATTTAATAATTATCTCAACTAGAAATCCCTGTACAAGCAACTTCAATACTGATAGAATTGAATATGAACACAATGCAAGTGCTGAAGAAATGCTTAAATACTTCTGTATATTTCAATGCTTCTGATCTCACTCTCTACTCATCATGAAGGCTGGAAATACTTGCAAAACTAAGTATAGATGAAGATGTCATCAGTTCACTAATTAATCAAGATTAATATATCAATGAATAATTGAAGAATTGTGTAAAACAGAAGTTTTATTCATGAATGAAAGTATATAAATTAGCATTGCAAACACCTGATAATATTATTAAATATCTTGATGTTCTGTTCTGAGACACTGTTATACAACAGAAAGTATTGAATTAATTACAGAGTATCTGACAGAGAATCACTTCTCTTATAATATTTTTTCCTGACTTTGACATCAAGATTCTAGAAGCAGGTGATCAATCTTGAGAGAATTGAATGAAGATTAGTATGCTTAAGAAGACATTAACTTTTAAACTCTTACAGACTCTTGTAAGTGTAGATAAAGATCAGACTTATGAAGATTTCTGCATATAACTTCAGACATTGAATAATCATCTTATAAAGCTTAAGAGTATACAGAACAGCAGTAGAAAATGTTACATCTCAGTCACTTATACATCTGTACTGAGAAATAACAACAATGATACAGATGCTATGAACTGAGTAGACTTAAATGTCTATATATAAGCAAGAGTCTTTGCTGTCTGAACACACTTCTGAGTTTCTGAGATCACTTCTGAAGAAGTTGCTGACTAATATCAATGAGAAGTGTACATTAATTGTAACTGATCAGAACATATTACTTTTAACTGCTGATTAGCCTATATATCTTCTCACTCAAGAGAAAGATTAGTATCTTCTCACTCAAAGAATGAATCAGCATCTGTTCACATCAATCACATTATATTAAAGAAAGATTCAGAAGATAACTATGAGAATATCTTAATAAAACAGAGAAAGAATTAACTTCTATTCAAATTTACAAGCAGAAGCTTGAAAAGGTCAGATAATAATGATTTAAAGAGAAAATGACAATGAATGCAATTCTTATATCTACTGTGATAGATAATATATATAATATGAAAGTTATAATAGACAGTGATCTGTTTTATTATACAATGATTAAATCTTCTGTGATTCAAAGGTTGCTTGAGCCAGCGTACGATTACAGATGTATGCCGGCTTCTTATATATTATATGCTAACTTAATTAGCGGCCGCTATGGCCTCTTTACACTTATAAGCAAGTTCAGAAGCGGCCGCGTTATTATCTGACAGTCATATGTTCTTTCAAACCACATTCTCTCTCACCAGATTTGGTCACGCCCATGTGATTATGTCATATGCCCTAGCTTCATGCAGATTAGCTTGCTACTAGTGTTTCACAATTGTGTAATCTATCTCTGATTCAGCTAGCATTCTGCATACACTCTCACAAAGAAACTTTCACTATATTACATTACTCATTCACTAACTTTTCTCATTCTTCAATCATCTTCTTCATCATCATTGAATGTCATCATTATTCAAGATTTCTATCTCTTCTCCTGTGTAACTCTTTCTATCTGTTCATCTATTATATTATACATGTTTCTGGCAATAGCTCTCTGTTCTCATAACAAGTATTATTATAGTGCTCATATCAGGCAGTTCATTAGCAGTAAGTGTAACATGTTGTGAAATGTGATCAGAACTTGTTTATCTTCTAATAATTATCAGAACATACTACTATGAATGATATATCTTCTTCATCTTCTTGTACATTCTTAACTGTTTCCTTCTCAGTGAGTTTCTGATTGTGTTTTCTGGCATGATTTTGTATAAACACAGATGCTGATATGTTGTTTTTATTTGTGTAGAATCTTCATACATTGACAGATCTGCATTCACTGATAATAGTGAACTCAATGTTAAATCATTGATCAAGAACTTGGAGAATGTGATAATGAAGGAATTGTCTGTGTCATGTGTGACTGAGTCTTCTGTGTCTCTTCCTGCCTCTTCTGCCACTTCTTTTCCTGCTGCTCTTTCTCAATCTTCTACACTTGCCTCTGTGTCTGGTTCTCCTGCTCCCGCTATCCCTGTTCCCGCGACTCTCACTTCTGCTACTCCTGCTCCTGCTGCTGCCTTCATTACTAGCTCTTCTCATTTCAAGAAGATATTGTGTAGACTCAGTGAATCACATTTCTCAGCATGTACACTCTCACTCTTCTTACTGATCTCTAGAATGATTTATTATATGATGATGATGTATGATATGACTATCTGAAGCTCAGTTATAAATGCTGATTATTACATTTGTTTTAAATATTCATGATGAAGTAATTATTCATTTATTTCAGAGAATCACTTTCTCTCTCAACAGTGTTAAGATTGTAAGTCTTTTTCTTTTTATCTTTTCTTTCTAACACTGATTTTTCTATTCTTAGAGAAAATTGTTATGAATTTTATTATATATGAAATCATAATATTCACAGATATTAAGAAACTTTTCATAATTATTAAATTCAATATTATAAGTATATCTGCTCTAATGAATATCTTCAGCATGATTGATCTGTATTAGTCTATTCTCTGATATTTATTATCTGACTTTGTGATGTAGATGAAGAATATCTGTGTTTTCAGAAACAGAAATATGAATATTATGCTCTTTTACACTTATAGATATGAGACTTGTATATCTTATCTGAGATGTTATTATAAGAATGAGCTGTTCATATACTGCATTCTGCTTTCTGCATTTCTCTGTATTCTTCTCTCTCTTTCTGAAAAGCCTCATGTGTGTTGTAATTATGTGTATAATTCTAAGATCAGCAGATGTTTGTTCAGTAATTATTATCTCTGCTTTTGTGATTTTATATACTAATAATAGTTCTTAGTTGCTTCAGTGTCAGAGATCATTTTAATTGAAGATGATAATACTGCTGAGACTACTCTCTTCTGCTCTTAAGCTTCTTCTGTCACTTTCTCTTCCTCTTCTATGAGAAAGATTGTGTATATACTGAGTTATAAGCATTCAGCTCTGAGTGACTTCTACTGTTATTCATCTGATTCTGTGTCTTCTCTCTCTTCTGTTTCTTCTGTCTTCATTCTTCCTGCTCTGACTTCTGATCCTGTGAGTCTTATGCTCTTCTTCAATTTTTCTATGTATATATGTACACATTTCTATATTAGCATTTCAGTCAATCTTGTAATAAATGACATTAATGTTGTACACAGAGTGATAGAGGAATCAGAGATGTACACAGTGTTGTTATAAGAGCAGCTTGCAGTTCTCAAATCTCTTGTAAATCTCAAGTTTTGAGATTTCTTTTGTTTTTAATGTTTTTCAGGTGATATGATGTTGAAAATAGATTAAATATGTGATGTATGAAAATGAATGAGATGTGTATGATAATATTTGTCTTTTACAGCTGACTCTTACAGTTGATAATTAATTCATTATTTCTTTTCTTTTCTTACACTTTTTCTTTATCTGCTAGTTACTACTCTTACACAATCTCTATATAATACAGTGTTCAGTGACTAGGTTCAGCAGCTTTCATCTTTTATGATTCTGTCTTATATATTATACTGTCTCTCTTCATCTGCTCAGATCACTACAGTGAATAGCTTATTAAAACTAATCTCACTCAATCTCTGAGCATCTTCAGAGATTGAGATGACTTAGTCTCATGTGTCTGTGAATGTTTCAGATAGTTTATTCTCTGTGATCTTCACAATTGAACTGATATAAACAGTTGAATTCAACTCTGAATTTCTTTTTCTTCTGTGATCTGACTTATGTACAAGTCTGCTGCTTTGAGATCACTCTTTACTGTGTTACACTCACTGTCTGCAGTGCATTATTATATGATCAGCTACAGTCTCATTACTTATTAAAGTGTAATATTTATCTGATTTCTTCATTTCTTCTCATTCTTTTCTTATAATTGTGAAAAGATTGAAATAAGTGAGATTATCTGATTTGTAAGTATCTATGATTTCTCTTACTTTATAAGGCTTTTCAATTATAAGTCTCTTCTTTTTCAATACTGATAATAGTGCTGTGAATAATTATAATCTGCTCAGATCTTGTATCTTTACTTTTATAAGTTATGAATCATTGATTAAGTTGTGTAAAATCTGTCTCTCTGATTTCTTCAATGTGTAAGTTCTCAGAGAATGTGATTTGAGTATTTTATAGAGTTCAAATCACCTAGATTGAAACTTCTCAGAACTCTCATTGTGTATGAGAACTTATATTCTTATCTTGAGACTTGATTTCTTAACTAGTGAGTCTTATATTCTTTTCAATTGAATTGCTCAGTTCAGAAGTAACTTGTTAGCTTTTGCACATGTGTGACTGATCTCTTTCAATCTTGATTCTGTGTTCACAACTGCTGTGTCTGCAACTGCTACTGCTGCATCTGTAACTGCTGTTTTCTTTCTCATCTTTTTCAAAGCATTCTTCAGAATGCACGGATGCAATTCATATAACAGGTAGAATGATAAACACTTGAAGACTGCATGCTGCTGAATTCGCATAACTAATAGTGTCTGACTAAGATATTCATCTCATAATCTTATAGACTTGCTCACTAGATATTTCATCAGCATGTTACTCAAGATTTCATTTAAGTGTTTCATCTTCTTGTTTATCTGTGAATAATATAGTGTTGTTCTATGATATCTTGTCTGTAACTAGCTCATGAAATGTCTCATCACTTCTTCTATGAGATTCACACTATTATCAGTTAGAATCTCACACAGCATTTCATAGTTGATATAGATCTTATTATATAGAAACTTTGTCATCATCTTCTCTGTTATCTCTGAAACTGCTTTCACAACTGATCAGTCAGTAGTGTAATCAATAGCAGTGATTATTCATTGATTTCTATTTAGTGTTCACAGTAATATGTCTATGAGGTTCACTTCTCATCATTTAAACAGTTGTATTATACACTTTATCTAATATTGTACTTTCTTATATTCTAATCCTTTCTTAGATTCTTTCACAACCTGGTAATTCAGGCACTTGTGAGTATATGTCTGAATGTTCTTGATCATGTTTGATCAGTATGCTCTTGATTTGAGTACACTTATAAGTTCAGCACTTTCTAAGTGACTGAATTTCTTATGTATGTAAGTTATCAAGTTGCATCTAAATAAGAATTCTAGATAAAGAGCTTTCATATATTCTAGATTGTAATAAAGCACAATATTGTTTTTCAATTTTCTCAGCTTAAAGTTTGAAAGTATCTCTTCTACTACTCTCACAAGATGCTTATTATCTGACATCTTGTCATTCTCTAAGTGAGAGATCATAGTGTTCACTTATTCTGATTTCTTGCATTCTCTCAGCACATTTAACATGAACATTTCTTATACCTGGTTTGCAGAACTCTCACTCATGAAATCAGGTCTGTAACTAATTGTATCAGGTATCACAGTGTCTGATTTCTTTCAGTATTTGATATGAAGATTGTACACTTGAAACTCTGAGATTCAATGTGCTAAGTGTTTAAAAGATTTTATTATCAATTATAGATAGATGAGACTTTCATAATCTGTGATCACTGTTGTTGTATGCCTGTTATTGATATATCTATCTCACAACATCAGTGCATGCTTAATCACTAGTAATTTCTTTTCATACACTGAGTAATTGAGCTCAGTGCCTGATAGTTTCCTATTATTATACATCACTGAATACAGCTTGTCATTCTTGCTTATCTGTAGAAGAGTGTCTTTGATAGCTCATTCAGATGCATCTGTCTTGATATAGAAAGGTTTATTATAATCTGATTGAATAAGCACTGAGAATGTTATTATATGTTCTCTCAGTATGAGAAAAGCCTCTTCACACACAGTATTTCAGATGATTGAATGAAACTTCTTCTTTTACAGATTTGCATCTGTTTCTCTTAAGAGATCTGAGAGTGATGTAGATATTCATGTGAAATTCTTGATGAATCTGCAGTAATATGAGATTAACTTAAGAAACTGTTGTATATAGTGTATATTTCTCAGCTATAGTTCAATTCACTATGACATTCAATTTCTCTGAGATAGAGTGTATACAGTCATTACTCACTACATGTTCTATGAACTTCAACTCTTTCATTTCAAACACATACTTTGTTAATTTAATATAGAGCATATACTCTGTCAGAGTTGTAAGCACTTCATTGAAATACTTCAGATATTCATCATATAAGTTTGAAAAGACTAAAATGTCATTGAGATATATGAGATATGAGGTTTTATTCTGTTTATAAAGAATCATATTTATCATCATTTGAAAGATGACAGGCACATTTGTCAGACTGAATGACATTATCAGGAATTTGAACTTCTCTTATTGTGTATTAAATATGATTCATGAGACTGACAGTTCATCTACATGAATCTGCCAGTATTCTGAGAGAAGATCAATCTTTGATAGATATCAGGTGTTTTCAATCATATTCAACTGTTATTGAATCTATAGCAGTGAATATTCATTCTTGATCATAAGCTTATTGAGTGCTTGATAATCAATATACATTCATCACTTCTCATCTGCCTTTTTCACAAATAGAACTGGAAAGCCTCATGTGCTTGATGAGAATTATATGAGATCATGTTCTAGAAGGTCTGTGATCTGATACTTCTGTTCTTCAAGATGTATTTGTGACAGAGAGTACACATTCTGATTGACTGGTTTTGCATCCCTCATGTCAATCTCATGTATGAATCCTTGTTCTGGTGACAATTCTGATGAAAGATCTGTTTGAAAAACCTTTTCATACTTCTTCAGAAGCTTCTTCATATGCTTGTTCTTCTGCATATCTTTTATCTTGATTTCCTCCACTTCCAGGTCTTATATGATATACAGAATGCTTTCAGATGCAGTCTTGTGAATCATTCTCTTTACTTATTAGTGTATAAGCAGATTTAACCCTTCTATATCAGAGGTGTGAAATGTCCTTCTCATATCAGTTGATAGAATTGTATGAACTGTTTTCTTTCTATCAGTCAACTGCATATGACATGTACATCATTGAATCTGCAGATTGAACTTTTGAAATCAATCAAGTTCAAGAATAAGATTGTATTTCATGTTCTGCAGCTCTCATGCTCAAATATAGTAAGATCATTCTCTGAAGTGCAAGAGAACTCTTACTCTTGCAGATAATATCAAATATCAGTTATCAGATAATCTTAT